TTGGGGTTTATGAGGGTTTAGGGTTCAGGGGTTAAGGGTTTAGGGTTTAAGGGTTTGGCTTTCAAATTTTGTTTCAGGGTGGGTTTAAGATTAGGGTTTAGGGTTATGGTTTAGGGTTTAGGGTTACATAGCCCTAGGGCTTACGAGTTAGAGTTTTCGCGCTTACGGTATAGGGTTTAGGTTAGGGCCTTCGGGTTGTTGCTAAGACCTCTGCAAACGTTCTATCAGAATTCTGTAAGAACTTCTTTGGCGAGTTAAATACATGCTCTTCTTTAGGATTCTTTAAGGGCTTTACAAGAGTATACAAGAGCTCCATGAAAATCTAGTTTGGGTGTTGATGTAAACCTTTAACCCTAAACCCTAGACCCTAAACCGCCATAGGGTATCACCTCATGCATGACTTAGCCCAGGATGTGATCGCTTCTGTCTGGACTCTAGAGCCTGCTTGAAGGTTCATGGGTAGGTGAAGCAATGTAACTATTGGTATAACCCATAGAGGGGACTTATAACCCCACTAATAACCATGAACCTCCATGTCGACCCTGATTACTAAACCGCGGGGCGCAGGCTCGACTGAAAAGCACCTCAACACTAAACCCCCCAACCTTCCCCCTCGCTGCAACACGGTCGCCAAAACTCCACAGATTCACTCCTCGACAAATCTCTGAACCCCCAGTGAAGCTCCAAACACCTTCAAGAAGGATGTAACACCATCCTACCAAAAAATCCCAACGAGCAAGTACAGATTTCCATGAACAACGGTAGGAGGAACACCACTTGCGAATCCTTCTGTCCTAAACCCACAACATTCCACCCTATATGCCTGCTCCCTCTACCCCCCCCCCCACCCTAAACCCCCAACCCCCCTGCCCTTGCCATGCAAAGGGCCGTCAGCCCGCCGCTCACGCGCAGACTTTGACCGACTCCTCCCCGGTGTGGGAGTTTGCTGTGGGGCGACTGAAATCTTGGGGTTTGGCAACTCAGATCATGGCCCGGGTTTTGGGGGTCTGGGTTTCGGGTTCGAGGCTTCTGCCTCAAGGTATGAGGTTGACGCTTTTCGGCGCCGGGGCCAGGCTGCCTTGCCTGCTTTTGGGGTTGTACATCGGTCCGCGAGCTTGTTCAAGGATTGCTTCGATTCGTTTAGGGTGTGGGGGGTTCGAGTTTGGGGTTTAGGGTTTCGCGTTGTAAAATTCCGGGGACTCGCATGGCCTTTGAACCAGTCGAGTTTATGCTCATTGCGGCCTTGGGGCCGGCAGCAACACAGATCATCACTGCCATCACAGTGAACAAGCCCGTTATGATGATGATGATGGTGATGATGATGATGAATAGCAATAGCAATAGCAATAATGATAACAACAATAATGATGATAATAATAATGATAGAAACAACAACAATACTATGAATAAGTAATAATATTGACATTAATAATAATAACAATAAAATAGTAATAGTAGTCATATTGCTAGTAATATTTATGAAAAGAAAATAAGAATAGTGGTATTAACCATATTGAAAAATAATTTTACAAAATAGTAATACTAGAAATGACAGCAATAATAGTAATAATACGAACAATGCTAAGAATATTTGCAGCAATAGTAATAGCAATAATAATTATTATCATCATCATAGTAATAATAACAAGTATTAATCATACTAGTCGGCATCCGCGTTCGTCAGCAGCAGCAGCAGCAGCAGCAGCAGCTTGGGGTTTAGGGCCTTACGGTTTGGAGTTTAGGGTTTGGGGTTTAGGGTGGTAGAAGCAGCAGCTGCAGCAGCGACTGTTGACAACACATTCATGATGTAATCGTCATTGGTGCGAGTGAATCAAAGGCAACTGCTGACGACACAATGAAGATGTCAGCGCTGGCAGCTCCCGATATTTGAAGAGGCGTGCGACCTAGGAATTTGCCGTCAAGGCTGAAAGATGCATTCTCTTCAATAGCTTACGAATGTATGGCTCGTCCCAAACTAGTTTGTTTATTATGTTTAGGCTCAGGTCACCAGTATCTTGAGACGCTTCCCGACACCCTGACGGCTCATTGCTCAACTCAAGCGTAAGTTCGATTCCGAAAACTGAAACCGTGAACCAGAACCCTAAACCCCTAAACCCAAACCCCTAAACACCTAAACCTTAAACCCTAAACCCCTAAACCCCTAAACCCTAAACCCTAAACCCCTAAACTCTAAACAGATCCCGCAGAACCTCTCTGAAGCTCCTCCAAAGCGCCAGTGCCCGCAGAGCGGCTACCAGATTCGACGCCGACATATCCTCGAAATTCCCGAGTCTAGGGGTTGGGGTTTACCGCAACAGTCGCAGGATCAGAACCGTAAGAATAGTGACTACAATAACTGGTGAGGTCGAGGGTTATGCTGAGGGGTAAATAACATCTGCTTCAAGATCTTTCTGGGTTCAAAAGCTGGCTTAGGGGTCCTAGACAAACAAGAACACCGGTCCACAGGTTCACCTGCTTTCGGCAGTGTGGTGCACAACAGGTCTAAGCAGTAGACACAGAAGCCTTCTCCCGCATTGCCAGCATCGTCCTCAAGATCGGAGCACTACTTCGCCGATGTCAGAAACATAAACCAAAATTGCCTGTCCAGCACTTGATCCACCGTGTGCCTTGCAACACCGACCTTATAGTGGTACCCCCGAAGCATCCTTGCAGTATCTTATCGCACCCATATAGTATCTTATAGTACCCTGAAAGTATCTTACAGTAACCTTATAGTATCTTATAGTTTCCTTATAGTCTCTCACAGCAACCTTCTACAAGCCGCATAATCTACAAAGGTTGCTGGATCCCTGGAAAGCCCCGGATGGCCTTCATCGTCATGGCTGAGCTGCCGAAGCACAGCACCTCCATGACTTGCTCCATGAAGTCCTGGGAGGATACTTGGAGGTTAATGGGAGTTATAAGGGGGGTTAAGGGGTAGCTCAAATTACAAGCCATATGAGGTGACGTATAACTCCTCTTATAACTACCCATGAACCTCCAAGCAAGTAGTATTTTGGGGTTTACGGTACTAAGAGCTGGGCCTAGGGTTTCAGAGTTGGGTGGGGAGCTTGGTGTTTAGGGTTGGCGTGGGCTCGCTTCGAGCCTCTTCCCCGCTGCTGCAGGAGAAACCCAACAACTTCTGCTCGGTTTAGGGTTTAGGGATGTTTCTGCTCGCTGCTGCGAGCAATGCTGTTGGGAGCAAACGCTGCACATGCCAAGGTACGGGACTATGAGCGGCAGGGAGCTTACACTTCAGGGAATCGGGGCTCTTCTTTCGGTCTAGGCTCAACTTCAAGCGAAATGCATGGAGTGTCGATCCGAACACAAACCCTGGCACATGTCTGGACCAGCTCAAAATTATGCTGCCCAGAGTCGGTAGAAACCTCACCGGGCCATTCGGAATAAGCGACGATGACCTTCGTGAGCTCTGCTGCATCAAAGGAGTTCAGATTGGCAGCCACTGTCGGACAGAAGCCGATCAGAAATGCCTGGCGGATGGCGTCGTCGCGCACTGCCGAGGTCGGTGCTTTGGGCTCTGGGCCTTGAGGCCTGTCTTTCGTGCTTTGGGAACTTCCAAAGCCATTCAGAGCTCCTTGAGCTCAATCTCAGGTTCGGAAAACCCCCCAAGAAAATGCTACAGTGGCTTCGTCATCAAACATAATCGGATCCGTATCTTAAGCGCCCTAAAGAAAGGACCCCCAAGCTAAGACGCCCCCTGAAAAGCGTGCTCATCCTTTGGGGGCCCCTCCGCTGCCTTCGGCTTGTGCGGCGACCTCGAGAAGGAGGTTACCAGCGAGGCCACCTGCTGGGCAGAGAAGTGCTGGGCGGCCTGGAGACTCCTGAGCTCGGGCTAGAACTGCAATTCAGGGTTCAGGGTTTAGGGTTTAGGGTTTGGGGTTCCAGTTTGGGGCTTAGGGTTTAGGGGGTAGAAACACGGCTTGGGGGTTGGGCCGCTTGGGCTTTAGGGTTTAGGATTCGGGCTTGTGGCGTGTGCTTTGGGATTTAGGTCGCAGGGCTTTAGTTCTTTTCGGATGTTGGGCTTTAAGGTTTAGGGTTGAAAGGTTTAAGATAGAGGTACGGGAGATAGAAGACAGGAGTTGGGGTACTGTACAGTAGCTGTGTAGTAGATACGACCCTTACCCGTAAACCCTGAACCCTAAACCAAAACCCTAAACCGTTCTAGCCTTCTGGCGCAGGAGCCTTCACGGCTCTGGCAACTGCAGCAAAAGAAGGGTTTAGGGTTGAAGGGCTAGGGCTTGGTGTTTAGGGCTCAGGGCTTAGGAGTTTAGGGCTCAGGGTTTGATGTTCAGGGCTCCCTAAACCCTAAACCCTAAACCCTAAAAGCAGACCTTCAGGCGAGGCTCAAGTGGATCAACTCCTGGAAGAGGACTCGGCTCCCACATCCCACGCCCACGAAACTCTCAGCGACACGGGGGATGTCCCCGAGGTTCACCGAGGGCAGCTCCTAAGTTCGGTTTTAGGAACTTCTAGGGTTTGGGGTTTAGGGTGTAGGGTGTAGGGTTTAGGAAGTTTAGGGTTTAGGGTGTAGGGTTTAGGGTGTAGGGTTTAGGGTTTAGGGTTTAGGATCATAACAAGGAATTCACAGTATTTATTAGATCCCAGTATGATCACTTAAACATGGTTCCTCAAGAAGAATCCAGGCTCTTGAATCAAGCGGGGCTCCACGATCTTAAACAGGTGCTTATCGTTCCAGGTCATATGATGCAGGACATGAACCAAGTCCGGCAACTCACGCGCAGCGTAACGATTCAGCTTGAACAGCACATCCTTGAAAGGGGAGGCAGGGCCGAAACACACTTCTGTTTTCCGGTGCATCTCGTCTTTGATGCCCCCTACAGCCTAAACCCTAAGGCGTAACCCCTAAACCCGCAAACAGAAACGCGCATAATGAACCCAAGACCCGTGCCTTGAGGATGGCTATGAAGTCAGGATCGTTGAACAGCGCCTTCCTTGCGGACAGTACATCGCTTTCATGCTCCAGCTCCACCTGCGCGGTGGGCTTTGGCATCTCTAGGTGTAGACTTCAGGACTGCCAAACCAAGCATTCCGTAGGTTCCTCGCCACTGTACCAATAATAATAATAATAATACTAATAATAGTAATAATAATAATAGTAATAATAGCAATCATAATAACAATAATAGCAATTATAACCATCATGATATGGTATAATCTACGTTCGAGCTCTATTCTACTTATGAAGGCCCCGGCTTGAACAAAGAAACCTGATGTGGATTCTGGGAGGCCGACCAGCTTCGTAACAGAACCTAAGCATGCCTAAATCCCAAGCTCTAAACCCTAAACCCTAAACCTTAAGCTCTAAATCCCAAGCTCAAAAGCCTAAGCCCTAAAACCCTAAACCTTAAGCTCTAAATCCCAAGCTCTAAAGCCGAAGCCCAGGACCCCCAAACTCCAGACCTTGAACCCTTGAACCCTTGAACCCTAAGCTGAAACAGAAGGAGACCGTGCAGGGCTCCAGGCTTCCAGGGAAAAGCGACACCTACCAGTTTTTGAGGCTTCGTTTAAGGGTTTAGGGTTTAGGGTTTAGGGGCTTCCTTTGAGGGATTCCTCTTGGAGGAGTCTACAGGGGACCTTTTAGGGCTTTGGATCAAAGAGCTTAGTATAACCTTCCTTTACGGGCTCCATTTGGGGTTGCTAGGAATAAGTTTCTATAGGAAGGGTTTAAAGGTTTCCTGGGCAGGCTGTGCTTGAGTGCTCCATGTAGGGCTTGTGGTTCAAAGGTCCAGGCATTTGGGGAACAGGGCTTAAGGCTAAAAAATAATTCGAACACACACTCAGGATCAGAGGCTTGGTGGTGTTTGCGGCTTATCATTTGGGATTCCATGTTTGCGGTGCTGCTCCTTAGCGTCAATCTTCGATGTGTTGGGCTTATGGTCAATTCACATGTCATGTTTTCCTAGTGAGGGGCCAGCCAGCACTATTCTGAAGTCTTTACCAGCAGAAGTAGAACGCCCATGGCGGATATCACAAAAACGAAGTCCTAATCCCAAACCAAAAAGCAACTGATACCATAAGCTATAAGTCGAAACGATTCAAACAAGCCCGCCTTTTGCCAGAGGCTCTTGAGCAAGTAGCACACCTGCCAAGGTCACACCAGTCAACAGAGAGGCGGATGTGTGATTGCCGTCTCGCGGGAACCAGTGAGAGATATCGAAATCACGACGGCTGCCGAAGAAGTAGCATAACAATCCAAGTACATATGGAATGAAATACGAATAACTAAATGTGTGCGCAAACTGTACACAGACAATACAGCTGCGAAAGCAGCAGCGGCAGCAGACGGAGCAGCAGAAGGAGGCAAGTGGTAGTGCCCAATGAAATGGTGTTAGGAGAAGTGGCAGTAGTAGTGGCGGCAGCAGCAGCACCACTAGCAGACAAGTGTATGTATGTATGTATGTATGTATGTATGTATGTATCTATACATTGCAAGTAAGTATGTGAAATTGTTATTGTTTTTTGCTATTGTTCAGTGCAGCAAGTATATAGCAGGACGAGGCCGTCACCAGAAGAGGAGAAGACGCAAAGCAAGAACATGCAATTGATCGACCTTCGGGTTTAGGGCATTGAGGGCTCAGGGTTTCGGGCTTGTGGAAGCAGCGCGAGTGATAGGGACGGCTATACCCTAGACCCAACTCCTCAGATTCTGCGTGTTCCCCATGCCCTGAGGAACTCCATACGGTTTGGGACTTACGGATGCCTTCCTCGGGGGGGGGGGTGTCTCTTCGACATGTCGCGTAGGGATATGATATACCTATACATATACATGTATATGTATATGTACATGTACAGAGACAAGTACAAATACAGATACCTCTGCATAGACATATATGGTGAGGCGTCTGGCGTTCCCAACCCCCCCCCCCGCCCCAATGGTATGGTCTGGTAGGGGTACGGGGGGGGGGGGGCTGGCATGTGCGGAGAGGGGTCGAGGCGGTTGGGTGGGGTGCTGCTGGGGGGCGGCCAGGGGTGACAGAGAGGGCCGGGATCTTACGCAAGGCCTTCGCAAGCCGTAAACCCTATAACATAGGGCGTGTTCCTGTTTTCATTAACCTTAACCTGTACTTTAAACCTGACATCCAACCCTAAACCCCGCTTTAATGCAAGCTCTAAGCTTGAAGCAAAACATAAAACGTCACCCTAACCAGCCTACACCCCAAATGCTCCCTAAGCTCCTGTCGACTCGAAGCCTCATAACCTTTAACCTGAAGCCCTAAACCTCAAAACCCCAGAACCACACCACAGGGGGAAGAGGGACTCCACACCCCACCCACAAGGGGGAAGGGGCATCCTGGACCATGGACCATGGGGGGGAGGTGTGGGGCCGCGGAGCGCCTGACCATCCATATATGTATGTATGTATGTATGTATATATATATACACACAGATGTATGTGCCTACACATACATATACACATACATACATACATGCGAACATATATGTGTACGTGTGACTTGAAGCACCTCAAATACAATGGCGCTACGAATAGCGTGTAGATTTGAATTCTTTTGTTTTGGGGGCTTGAAGACTGTTGTGCTCTTCGTGACTACATGGCATGGCGCATGGCAAGGCTAGAAAAAAACATCCACATCTCGCTTCTGGCCGTTAGTTTATAGGTATCCTAACCCGAATCCAAGCTCGGGACGCCTCCCTTGGCCCCAGTTTGTCGCGGAAGCTTATGAAGAAAGACAGGTGCTCTTTGGAATTCCTGAGCTTCGCGATCGCCGGGAGGTGGCCCTCCGAAGATGTCGACAACCTCATGCCAGGATGCAGCCGTGTCGGGAGTAGGGATGTATGCTAGTAACCCTTTTTTGTAACCTTTGCTTCAGGGACCCATGCCTGCAGTAACCGTACGATAGAACTTATCGAAGCTTGCGAGGCTCAGGGGAAGATCGCTACCTGAGGTGGGAGGAGCCAGGACTGAAGCTCCAGGCATGGGTTTAGGGCCTTAGGGTGTAGGGTTCGTGGTTATGACTATGGGGAGACTGCCATGTGAATCCTGAACACAATGAAGTTCTGTGTAGGATATAAATGCTAGCAATGATGATGGAAAGATGAGAAACAACTAGTACACACATGACAGCTGCATTGACAACAGCAGCAACAACAACAACAACAGCAACGACAGTCCCCATTATTATGACAGGGAACAGAAACATTAGTGCTAGTAATGAAGATAGGACGACGACGACTGCTACTACTCCTACTAAGTAGTCGTCGCCGTAGTTGCAGTCGCAGTCGTAGTCGTAGTAGCAGTAGCAGTAGTAGTAGCAGTAGCAGTAGCAGTAGCAGCAGCAGTAGCAGTAGCAGTAGTAGTAGCAGCAGCAGCAGTCATTAGAATAATAGTCATCCCAGACATGCTCATCTGCTATCATAAAACTGCTGTCGCAGGGTCAACACGAGCCCAGCTACCCTCACGACAGCTCTTTGCTGATGACCATGACGACGCCGCTGGCAACGATGATGCTGATAAGCCTAACCCTAAGCCTCGATCCTAAACCCTGAACCCTAAGCCCTAAACCCTAAACCCTGAAACCTGATAGCATGCTGAGAGTGATGTTGTCGACGAGGCACTTCGATCTCAAGTCCAAAATAGCGACAGCCCGACAACCCTATCGTAACCCCTGCAGCAGCCGTGAAACTGGCCCTTGAAATAACCCATGCAGGTAGCCCCTCTAGAGACCCTCAGAGTAGTCAGGCTGAGAAATGTGGGGGGTGTGGGCTTTTCAGACGACTCAGGCACCTTGCACCAGCTGGACGCCATGAAGAAGAACATCCTCTAGAAACCGCCAGCCGGCGAAGGCGATGCATGGTGCAGCCATTTATGCAAGGCTTCGGAGGTTTTGGGGAGACCGGAGGGGGGGGGGGGGGGGGGGGCTGGAGAGGGTAACAGAACGGCTCGTCAAGAGTCCGTGCCAGAACGAATGAGAGTTGATGCTGGAAAGCAATGAAACTAGATTTTACACCAACAATATGTCTGAGCGGTCATGTAGCCACCGAGAACGGTCATTCTTTAGGCGCCTTGCATAAGCAGTCTTTCTGACTTGAGGGTCTCACGTCAAGACTTTCAGGTTTTAGGGTTTCGGAATGTTCCGGATGTGGGGTTTAGGCTTCGCTGGTCTTCGAGCCTGAAGTTCTCGCACTCGGATCGAAGAAAGGGATGGCTTATGAAAACAGGAGCCCCTTACCATACGAGGAATTGAGTTGGGGATTCGGCATGAACATGAGGAAAGAGAGGAGTAACAGCAAGGACCGTCATCATCACCGGCTGCACCCATCAAAAGAACCATCAGAATGGGCATCATTAAAACTTGTAACAGCAGCACAGTAATTAACCTATAGCAGCTATAGCAATCGTCCAAGGAGTTGCAACACTCGACAATGAACTCGGAAACGTATTCAAAAACACCACCATCATCCTCATCATCATCGTCATCATCACGGGCACGACAAGGGCCACTGGCACCGCAAACATTGTGAAGCGTACTTTCATGCTTCCAAGCGTAGTATGACCGACAAATCATAAACCATTGAATGAACGGTGAGTGCGCACGGTAGGTCAAGACTGTGAACCATTGTCATTGACGACAGAGTGGATTGCAAGAGCAGCGAACTGGCAACGTCAAGATGTTGTCATGTGAACCGTGAAGACACCCATGATCAAAATTACTCTAAGACCCAACCTTCCCTTGGCAAGCTCCACGCAGAGAGCCGTGTCATGTGAGACCGCGTGAACCCTGAAGCCTCAACTCTGACCTTGAACCCCTCAACTCTGCAACCCTTGAGCCCTGAAACCCTGCAACGTTTCAACCCTAAACCCCTGGACCCCTGAAGCCTTCATTACACCCTCAAGCCCGTAAGCCCTAAGCCGTGAAACTCTAAAACCCTAAGGCCGTAATCCCTAAATCCTACAACCCTAAAACCCTAAGGCCCTAATCCCTAAATCCTAGAACCCTAAAGCCCTAAGGCCCTAATCCCTAAATCCCTAAAGCCCTAAACCCTAAACCCGAAAACCCTAAAAACCCCCCAAAATCCCCAAGAGTTGTGGCCGTCTTTCTGGAGCTGCACCTTGCGTCGGCCTCAGGGCCCTTCGGGCTGAGGATTGCGGTCTGGAGCTCTTTGACGCAAAGAGAGCGGGCCAAGCGCCGATCGGTTTTGAAGGAAAATATCAAGTTCAGACCTCCGTCATTTTAAAAAATTAGGGCGAAGGGCCTTCGGGCTTTAGGGTTTCGATTTAGGGCTGAGGGTTTTGGGTGCCAGGGTCACTGAACACTGTGGAACTGAAAATCACGGATGGATCACGGCATCAAGTCAACGACTTGTGAAAGAGGGATCTGGCTGAGAGGGCGGTTGGCTGCAAAGAATTCCGCTGTTGCGCTGCCCCCATCTCCACGCTCATCGAAAGTGTAGCCGGTCCCCTGGAAATGTCGGTTCAGCGAAAGAGCTGTCGCCAGGAAGCGCCGGGCGGCCACTGCGGTGTCCTCAGCTACCAGGTAAGCCTCCTCGCTCATTGGCCCTTCAGACTTCTCGATGGAATCGAAAGAAACACTAAACTGAGCCTCGAGTTCAGCCCATGATCTGTTGCGGAGTGTCGACCAGTGCGGTCGGATCTTTTCAGCAACTCGTGGGTGATACGTCTCCACCGCACGCTGCACTCCATCCCAATCAGCCTTCCAAATCGTCCCATCTTCGTCGAAGAACACCAGCTTGAAGCGGGTACCCCTTGCGATCTCCTCGTCGATCCACTCAACTTGGACTCCGTTTCTCAGCAGAATCTCACGGGCACCGAGGCCAAAGTTCCTTCCGGCCCAGGACACGCCGTCGGCGACGAACATGACACGACGAGAGGGGTCTACGAGCGTAGCTGTGGCAAGATCCGCGCCCGAACGCAGGTAAACTATCCTCCCAAAAACCCCATCAGACTTGGCCACGTCCCTGGCGTTGTCTCGCCAGGCCTCTGCAAGTGCAGCTGCGGCACTGACACCAGGTTTGGGGGCAACTTGCACAGGTTTGACCAATTGCTTCGTTCCACCGCAACCCATCAGATGTGATAATGCTATGATGACTAAAATTTGCGGCCCCGAATTGAAGACAATCTCGTCGGCTAGGCAAAACCTCCACAATCACAACACACCTGTCTAATGGGGGTTACAACTGCAGCTACGGCAGCTACGAGCTGCAATGCTTGGAACCAATGACAAATGGTCTGTGCAGCTGAGGAACGGAAGCCGACGCAAGACCAACTTGGCATGAAAGCCAAATTTTGCCAAGTGCAAAAACTTTCCAAGGTTTCGGGCTCTGGAAGCACGTGCTGAGGTCGGTTTGGGGGTAACTTACTGAAGCCTCATAAGAAAGCTCCGGGCTCCTGGTATTTTCTTAAAGCCCGCAATTTTGCAGCTTTCGTACAATGCAAGCTGACGGGGGTGTTGATACTCGAACAAACGACAATGTTCGGTGAATGTCACCGTCAGCAAACCAAATAAGAAAACGCAAAAATAAGTTTCGAACGTCCCCGCCGCAAAAACAAGCAGTTGGTGGAACACTCTACTGGATAACCGTGTGGATTACACTGCAGAATACTTGGGGGCCGGGCTTGCAAGGAGGTGTGCACACCAAGGGAAACACCGGTGTGAAGGCTGGTATAAAGATATATTAAAGATATATGAATTCGCTTTCCGGCCGGGCACTCCGGGTATGCTGTGTGGGGACACTCTGCGAGCAATCAAGAACTCCGGATACGTTGGCATGGAGTGCTGACACTCCAAACAATGCTCTGTGGGATAGTCTTGGGAGATGGGCATTCCACGGATATTCTGCAAGATGCCGGATACTTTGCAAGTGAGGTTCCGTTCAATTTATGCGGAAAACTTGTATCTTGCAAGTTATAAGATCCGCTAATGTCCTTCAGCCAACGCTAATCTTCGCAGTCTCATATATACATATATATATATGCAAAAAATCGTGCACACATACATACATATCTACATATCTACATATCTACATACATGAGTACATACATACGTATATACATATAGACATATATACATATATACATATATACATATATACATATATACATATATACATATATACATATATACATATTTACATAGATACATAGATACATAGAT